GACTTCTTGTTAAAAACCGCAAGTGCAATTGCTTTGATATTACATATATAGGTACTACATGTGGACCTCTCTCAGATTTGTTCATTTTGTGATGATATCTTCAATTCTCTAATTTTGGTGAATATTTTTGTAATTTTTGGTAAAAAGTGATATTTTCGACTTGTTAAAAACCGCAAGTGCAATTGCTTTGATATTACATATATAGGTACTACATGTGGACCTCTCTCAGATTTGTTCATTTTGTGATGATGTCTTCAATTCTCTAATTTTCGTGAATATTTTTGTAATTTTTGGTAAAAAGTGATATTTTCGACTTCTTGTTAAAAACCAATAGTTCAATTGCTTTGATATTACATATTTAGATACTACATGTAGACCTTTCTCAGATTTGTTCATTTCGTGATGATATCTTGTATTCTATAATTTTGGTGAATATTTTTGTAATTTTTGGTAAAAAGTGATATTTTCGACTTCTTGTTAAAAACCAATAGTTCAATTGCTTTGATATTACATATTTAGATACTACATGTAGACCTTTCTCAGATTTGTTCATTTCGTGATGGTATCTTAGATTCTATAATTTTGGTGAATATTTTTGTTATTTTTGGTAAAAAGTGATATTTTCGACTTCTTGTAAAAAACCAATAGTCTGATTGCTTTGATATTACATATATAGGTACTACATGTAGACCATCCTCAAATTTGTTCATTTCGTGATGATATCTTCAATTCTCTAATTTTGGTGAATATTTTTGTAATTTTTGGTAAAAAGTGATATTTTCGACTTCTTGTTAAAAACCAATAGTTCAATTGCTTCGATATTACTATATAGATACTACATGTAGACCTTTCTTAGATTTGTTCATTTCGTGATGATATCTTCAATTCTCTAATTTTGGTGAATATTTTGGTCATTTTTGGTAGAAAGTGATATTTTCGACTTCTTGTTAAAAACTGTAAGTCCGATTGCTTTGATACTATACATATTGTTCATTTTCTAATGATGTCTTCAGTTCTTTAATTGAAATGTGCATTGCTAACAGCGGAGCTATCTCAGCCGATAGGCTGCTTGTTAAATATTATCATATGTTCATTAGTCCCCGTTCGGACAAAGTCCGAAAACAGGGACTTATAATTTGGTCTCCGTTCGTGCGTCCGTCCGGAGTCATATCTCAGAATCCCTTGGACCGATTCCGTTCATTCTTTGCATGTGCCTAGTACTTTATGTGGGACATATGCCCCAGTGGTTTAGCGATTCAATTTAAAATGGCCGACTGGCAGCCATTTTGTTTTTCTAAAATGTTGTATTTTGGACATGCTTTGTCAGTTTCATTCAAACTTGGTACATAGATTATACATGTTAGGATACATGTCCATGACGATTTATTTCACAATTGGATCAAAGATGGCCAACTGGCAGCCATCTTGTTTTTTGAAAATGTCGTATTTTGGACATGCTTTGTCAGTTTTTATTCAAATTTAGTACATAGATGATACATGTTAGGATACATGTCCCAGACCGTCTGTGAGTTCCTGAGTCTGTCCGTCCGTGTGTCCGTCCGTCAGTGCGTCAGTCTGTCCAGAGTCATATTTCAGAATCCTGTGGACCGATTCCGTTCATTCTTTGCATGTGCCTAGTACCTTATGTGGGACATATGCACATGCAGTGGTTCAGCGATTCAATTCAAAATGGCCGACTGGCAGCCATCATGTTTTTTTTATGCGGTATCTTGGACGTGCTCTGTCAGTTTTCATTCAAATTTGGCACATACATGTACTTTATACATGTTAGGATGCATGTCCATGACAATTTGTTTCAAAATCTGGTCAAGGATGGCCGATTGACAGCCATCTGACTTTTTGCCTTACTACTATATTTTCACAATTTATGTACCATTTTCATTCGTATTTGGCAAATACATCATACCATAGACCCTAGAGGGTCTATGATCATACATATCAGTGTGTTTCATAATCAGATCAAAGATGGCCGAGTAACGGCTGTTTTTATTTTTGGCCATATTACTACTACACGGAACACGTGTTTTGATGTAAATAAACAATCTGTTGTATACATCACTTGGAACTCAAGTTTCAAGGACACGCTCGCGACAACCCCTCTGCTTTAATATGACGAGCACAAAGAGAACTTAATTTAACGGGAACTGTGTCATTTTCAATGACTTGTTTTTATGTTGTTTTTTCTCTGATCTGTGTAACTATGTAACTAACATTATTGTATCTATAAACTCTTTCTTGTGCTTGACATCAATCAATATACATGTAATTATGGCCTCATTATTGAATTGATCTGCTTTAATTGCTAA